ACTACTGAATCAAATTTATCTGACCTAATTAGCAACTCAACTAGAATCTCTAGACTAAATTTAACTTGAAGTCAATTTGTTATATTAGATTGTTCATTTTATATGTTCGTTTCATTTGCCTCGTCTCCCCATTTCGAGAGTTCTGGAAAGTGATGTTAACTGAAAAATTAACTTCAAATGGCCTAAAAGAACTGTTGTGACTGTTTAATTCAAATACATTAGTTATCAAACTATCCCATTGATAGAACACATTAAAATAGCTGCTAGAAATTGAATTTATGGTTTTTATATAGTCAGTTATGCGAGTTAGCTGTGCTAAAAAAAGTGTCGGTCCCATGATCTTCCCAATCGAAATTTGAATTTCTCATATATACAACAAGTTGGATAATTAAAAATAATAAATTGTTCAAAATTGTTATATTTATTAATTAGACACTAACAATAAAGTTTTTGATTCAAGTTTCAGTCAGGAAGATCATGGAACTTATACTTTTCCAGCACAGCTAACCAGGGACACAGAATTTTATGTGATAAGAGCAGTATATATAAGATATTTGATTTATTAAAAATTAAAAAATCAAATCGCGACTAATTAAGTTAATTAAGCAAAAAAAAAAATAATAATAAATTTATCTCAAAAAAACTTTATAATTTTTTAAATTATGGCATTCAACTAAACAATTCTATGATTTATCATGTTAATTAAAAACCATTTTAAATACTACGCTCAACTAAACAAAAAACTGATTTGTCTGATTTATTTATCGTTAATTAAAAAACACTTTTTTTAAATAAAATCTTATTAGATGAAATAATCTATAAAAATCTTTTTTTAAATAACTGCTTAATGTATTTTTTCTGAATCTATATCAAAAAAAAATTTTTTTTAAAGACTAATGTAATACAATGTTTTAGGTTTTAATAATATTTTTATACTTCTGACTACCCCCATCAAAAATTTCACCCACATGATCTGTGTTATATAATTATTTGAAGATTCTATTAATAAATTCAAAGACTTCTAGCGATGTTTTCTCAATACCTACTCAATGAAATACAATAAATTTTTTTATTTAATTATAAGGTTTTGTAGAATTAAAATAAAAAAAATTCATTGAATTTGGTTAAGTAGTTGTTGAGAAATCATTGCTAAAAGTATTAAAAATGCTTAAAATATGTTAGAAAAAATACTAAAATCGTGAATTTTTCTTTTTTTAAAATTTAAACAAATATTTCTTGACACCCAACTATCCAAATTTAATAAATTTTATTTATTTTAATTCTGTGAATCCATAAAATTAAAATAAAAAAATCAAGCAAATTAGAATAGCTAGTTGTTGAGAAATATTCTTTAAAAGTTAAAAAAAATTTGGCTATGGCTTTTTTTTAAAGACACTTAAATTTTAAATGAAGATAACTCACCATTTGCCTTATCAAATTTGATCAATTTTTTATTTTAGTTCTATAAATTTATAAAATTAAAATAAAAAAATTTTGGTTGAATTTGATCAGGTAAATCTGAGTTATCTTCATTCAAAATTTAGATGTTTTTAAAAAAAAGCAGCATCCAATTTTTTTTTGACTTTCAGTAAATATTTCTTGACAAATAGCTATTCTAATTCGCTCAATTTTTTTATTTTAATTTATAGAATTAAATAAAAAAAATTTATCTAGCTAGATATCAAAAACTCTTTGTTTAAAGTTTTTTAAAAATTTTAAGAAAAAAAAACATTGCAATAAATTTTTAATTTAAACTTTAAACAAAGATCTCTTGACACCAAATACCAGAATTTGATGAAAATTTTTTTATTTTATTTTTGTGGTGCCATAGAATTAAATAAAAAATTTTGGGCAAATTAAAATAGCAAGTTGTTGAGAAATATTTATAAAAATTTTTTCACACTTTTTTTAAAAACATCTAAATTTTGAAAAAAGATAACTCAGCATTTACCTGATCAAATTCAACCAAAATTTTTTTATTCTAATTTTATAAATTCATAGAATTAAAATAAAAAAATTGATCAAATTTGATATGGTAAGTGCTGAGTTATCTTTGTTCAAAATTTAGATGTCTTTAAAAAAAGCTGTAGCCAAATTTTTTTAACTTTTAAAAAATATTTCTTGACAACTAGCTATTCTAATTCACTCAATTTTTTTATTTTAATTTTATATTTGCTTCTATATTTAATTTTATCAATTTTATTAACTTTTACTAGGTTCAATTTCAACTTTAATCTTAGATTAATATATATTAAATTAGATACTATTATGTTATCTAGTTAGACTCTATATACAACATAGACAAATTAGTATTAGTAAATTGTATAGATATAGTATTCTTGTATACATATATGTGGTTTCTTTCTAATAAATTCTTTACTTTTGTTCTTATTTTTTTATTCAAAGTAACAAATAATATAATGAATATTTGTTAATTGGTGTATTTAAAATAAATAATTTATACCATATTAATTACTTCATATTTTTTAAATCAGCAAATTGCTTTTTATTTGATTTGGTAAGTGCAATGATTATTTATTGATAGAGGTATTTAAAATAGTATTTTGTTTCTTATTAACTTTTACCTATATTGATTTAATGTTAAACTATATAAAATCCAATTTGCCTGATAAAATTTATTAAAATTTATATAGATTATATAATATTGAAATTGGTTATTTAATTAGAACATTTAACAAAGTCATCTGCATGCTAGTTTAAATATATTAAAACAGTAAGATAATGATAATAAATTATTATTAAATGCAAAATCAATTTGAACTATTGTAACATGGTATATAAATAGATTCAAGGATAGATATGTAAGAATGTATAAGAGCTAATTAAGTATGAATTTATGATCAAGTATAAAGTATTAAAAACCAGAGAATCAGATGTACTGTATTAAAGCGATAAAAGGCCAATTCATAAGTATATGCTTTAAAAATATATATCTTTGAATTATTGAATATAGGATAGCTAAAGAGACAAATATGAAGAGACAAAATTTTACAAAATATTAAAATATAATAAATTCATGGTTAAAATTAATTTCAAAGTTGGTTGATAAATGTGTGAGAGTTTAAATTAAATTAGTAATTATTAAATAAATTCAAGCTTATGTAACAATGAAATTATATATTTAACAGAGTAAACTGTTATAAGCCTCTTTTATACAAGTTAAATAAAAATAAATCAAATCAATAAACCAGAAGGCTATATAGTCAGAATAATTTTATATATATATCATAGGTTTAAAAGCCATAATAATATAGTAAAGTTTAACTTTTAATTAGATTTCTATATAAAAAAAATTATTATAGTAGCACCCTATCTATAGCTCTGCTACAGTTCTGTAAAAATTTATAAAAATTTTAAGAGCTTGATCAGAAATCCATAATTTTTATTAAGCATAGATTATATAATATTAATAGAATAGTTATATATAACTCTTACTCTATATTAAACTACTTTTAACTTTTAAAAGAGCAGTTATCTGGAAAGTGTGTACCACTAACAGAGATATTAGGTTGTTGTATATTATTTATAAATAAAGTAATTTTTCTTTTAAAACTTTAATATTTTTCAAATGTTGATTTTTACTAATTTGTAGATTATTCTTCAAATGGTTGGTTACTATGATATATTTTTCATTAACTATTCCTGGTAATATGCTAATCTCTTGAGATGTTAGATATTCTAGTATTCCAATATATCTATTTTATATTTGCTTGTTTATTTTTATAGCTATTCTTGTTCTTTTTAGTATTTTTTGTTTTGTGTACTTCTGATTTTAGTATTTTGTTTTAGATTAATGGTTGGTATTATTTGGTTTTTTTTTTTAATAGATATCAAATATGTAGACTTTTTTTATCTTCAGATGGTTAATTGTTAACTCCATTATCTAATTCTATATAATAGCCTGTTTGTTTTTTATGATCAGCTTTTGATGCTTTATTTTCTAACTATTTATTTACTGATTTATTATCAGTTTCTGCAGTTTCATTATAATATTCAAGTAGCTAAAGAGTGATTATAAAATATATTCTTCATATGTTTATTCTTTAAATGTTGATAGAATAGGTATATAATTTGATAAATGTGCCTATATATCATTTGTTTTATTATCAAATACAGGGTGTATTTCTGTTTCAGTATTTTCTGTACTTTGTAACTTTCTGGTACTGGTGTATCAGATCTTTTATAGTATTTTGAAGATTTTAATATAGTTTTTGGTAAAGGAGTATTAGTCTCTGTTTTATCAAATTGTCTTTTCTTATTTGTATAATTTTCATTATTATCAATGCTCATTATTTGTTTTAGACTTAATAGTGATTTTTGAAACCATGTTTCTTTAAACATTTTTACTGATGATTTTATCCATTTAAATACTGGTAAACTTGGTATTTGAGGTTCTGGTTTTAAAAGAGTCATTGTTTTAGTTGTAACAGTCTACTCAGTCTTTGTTGCCATTAATTTTTTGTATGTTCTATACTTATATTAGTGTTACTTATTCTATCTGAGCTGCTATTTAATGTAAAGTCTATTTCTGCATTTGATTCTCTAAATTGTTTATTATATTTATATGTTTCTTTATAGTTTGTTTTTGGCAATTCTAGATGTACTGATTCAGGTTTTCCTCTAGAATTTAATTGTTGTCTTATAGCTATTTTATACTCATCAGTATCATTATGCATTTGTTCTAATTTTTCAAATAGTGATGCTATAAATTCTCAATGTTTTGCTTGTATTTTTCTTATGGCTGTTTCATTTTTGTAAAACTCAGCTTCTTTAATTGTTTCAAATATTATAGCTTGCTGTTTATATAGTGGCATTAATTGTAGTGTTGGGATCTGTTTGGTTAAACATCCAAATATTCGTGGATGGTATGCATATTCAGATATCAAATTTTGCTCATGGATAGTGAATTCAGATAATAAAAAATATTCCAGATACCTATATAGACTTTTTAATTTACTGTAATAAGAATAAAATTATTGATCAGCACATTCTAATTGGCTATTATCTGGATATCTGTAATATTTACAGATATCTGAATGGCCATTTTTGAGTACAAATATTTGTTAATGAATACAGATATCCTATTCGGATTGCTGTTTTTAAGCATAGATAACTATCCGGATATCTGAATTGGTATCTGGATCCCAATACTAATTAATTGAAATTCTACAGCTAATAGATTTTGTATTTAATTTATATCTCTATTATAATCTTAATTAAGGTCTTCTATTTTGTTTCAATATTTCCATACTGTGGCATCAATGGTTTCTTCAATTGAGTGAAGTATTTGGTAAACATATTCTCTTTTATCTATATTGGCTTTTAGTTTAGATAGTTTGTTAATATCTTGAAAGATATTCTTCTAGACTTTGTTTTGTTAATAATGCTGAATAGTTATGCTGTCTTTTTATTCTAGCTAGTCTTTGTTTGAGTTGATCAAACTTTTCATCAATTTTTGGGTCTCTTGATAAATCACCTTGTTGAATTGCTTTTTCTAATCAGCTAAAGCTTTGTTTAATTATTGTTTCACTTTTGGTTATACTTTTGGTTTTACAGTTTCCTTACTTTCTTTATATTTTTTATTTTTAGGTTTTGGTAAAACATATTTCTCAAATTGTTTTATTGTTTCTTGGATATCTTTGATTATTGATTAATTAAGTTTCTGCTATCCTTTATTTTGTAGTTTTTCATTGGCTCTTAATGTTATTTTAAATATTCTTTCTGCCAGATCATTTATTTCAGGTTTTTTGTATATAAAATCTTTAATTAATACTATGCCTAATCCTTGATAAAGAGTATCTTTTTTCTTATTATCTTATTTTTTTGACTACTGTTTTCTCTTTTGGTCTTTATTTGCTAATTCATCTTTGTATATTCTTTTAGTAATTGTACTTTTTATATTTGTACTATTTGATTTAATGCTTCTATTGCTGGTGTTTCTAATATCATTGCACAAACCTCTTTGTGCTTTGCTATTTTTTAGAATATTTTTGATTGTAAAGTGCTTGTTAGATTCATTATATGCATGTGTTTATTTATTTCTCTACTGAATATACATTCTGGTAGACTATTATTCATGTGTACTAATTGTATTTCTTGTTTATAGAAATACAATACATTTTTATACTTGTGTAGAAGCTTTCTACCATCTGCTCTATAGTAATGTTGAGTAGAGTGCTATTTTTCTTTTATCTTTGTTCTCACTGATAAATTGTAATTTTTGGTTAATACTATTCAATATATCTATAAGGTTAGCTATTGTTGTATTATAATAATTGGATGTGCTATTTTCTAAGAAAATTTCTATTTTTTTATCTTTGATTTCTTTGAAAATATAATTGAAATTTTCAATTAAATCTTCTCAGTTCTTGTCTTCTTTAGTTCTTAAATATAGAACTGCTAATCTTATATTCATTCTCTTTGCACATGCTAATTCTTCTAATATTCTATTTATTTTCCAGTTTATTTTACTAGCTTTTCTTAATTTGTCATTAACATATAGTTCTAATGTTGTATATAGTACTATTTTTAGCTCTATATTTTTATTTCTCTATATAATTATGTAATTTTTCTTTAAGTATTTTATAATTGTCTCCAATGTTTTAATATTTTAAAAAGATTTGTAATATATTGGAGTTTGTTACTAAAGCAGTTTTGACTATTTTGGTCCATTCTCCATCATATTTAGTTTAACTAATTCCTTAATAAGTTATATTTGTTCTGAGTACAGGTCAGGAAGTAACTTTTTAATAAAATTTTTATGTTTTTCTACAGGATATTTATAGTTGACCCAATTTGGTTTATTGGTATTATTATTTATTTGGTAATTTTTTAGGATTTTTGTTGTTATTATTACTTTTTGGTTTACTTTTGCTTTTAAATATTAATTGGTCAGGTGTGTTGTCATGAGTTGTTTTGACATATTGGGTGCCATTATTACTTTTTTCTCGGGGAGTGTTGTATCCTTAGTTTTTATAGCAAGGTAACTAGTTCATGGTTTTTATGTGATACAAACTCAATCTCTAAGGTTTGAGAAGGTTTAGTAATAAAAAGATTATGATTTAATCTTGAATAACCATGTAATAGGTTCATGTCGACATTAACATCTTGCCATGAAATTGGTTTGCCATTAATACAAGCTATTTGATTTTGTCTGTCTTTGGAAATATTGAATGCATGTTGGTCTATTTCACTTAGTAATATATAGGTTGTTCTCCTTCTATCACAGATATTTTAATATGTTCTTTAACATCTTATACTTGGAATGTTAACTTGAACTTTTCCATAGTTTTTAATTGTAATTCCTCCTGGTGTTATTGCATTTGATTCTTTTGTGGTTAGTTTTTCAAGAAGATTTTATATTGCCCCAGAGATATTATATACAAATAGAAAGGAATACACTCAAAAATCAGATATTTATTCTTTCAGAATAATTATGTCAGAAATTTTACTGGATATCCTCCATATAATGATATTCCACACACAACGAAAAACTAGCAACACGTATTTGTCTAGGTTATAGACCTAAAGTTAAATGCGAAGTTCCTCAATTACTTTTGGATCTGATGAATAAATGCTTAGATGCAGAACCTCAAAACCAAAAAAATTAGCTAATGCGCTGAAACAATTTTTTAATGATTTGGAAGATGAAGATACTGAGTTATACAAGCAAGTTAAAAATATTAAAGACTTAGACAAAAATTTCTTATACGATCAAGTCAAATCGACACGATTCAAATATCAGACACATCCACAAGCTATTTATTTTAAATCTTTCAAAACTCCCAAACCAGGTAATAACACATATTTTTTAAAAAGTTAGTAATATGCCATTATTTGTAAAAATTTCTGAATCTGTTAATATATTCCCGAAAAAAATTTAGAAGAAATAAAAGAAATTTATCAGGGCCAAAAAACCAAGTAATTATTAAAAATCCTCGTATAGAATCCTGCCATTTTATGGCAACTTAAAGCTTCAATTCAAGGCCGGCCTGCTTTATCAATGTGGGAGACCACCAGCTGATGCTACGCATCGCAATTTAGCTGATGACGGCGATACCTGGCGCAATTATGTTTGCCTGGGAGCACATCCCGTCTCAGTTTATACATCAATCACATTGATGTATGCTACAATTTCTCAATAAAATATTACGCAATAAAGTTTAATATCTAGCATTGTTAGCAAGAGGCATCCAATTTACAATACTTATCACGTGCATGCAATGCTTTTCGTTACCTGAAAAAATTTTGACATTATACTTGACCGATATAGCGCACATAATAAGTAAGTTAATATAAAAATTTTTGACAAAAATCTTTTCCATTTGGAACACGAGTAATATCGTAACCAATAAATAAGATGCTTAATGTCTAATTATTAACTTTTATCTGCTGCATGCCGGTGTTAGCTTAGTTGGGAGGGCATCATGAAAGAATATTTAGATAAGCAATTTAGTCATAAGGACGATTTTATGAGAATTCTATTTTTTATGAGAAGAGTTCAAAGGGCATACGATTTCTACTCTAACATCAGGGGGAGAAGTATCATTGAAGAGATATCTTATGATCGTTCTCAATGACAATGTTCAGCAACACAATCATTGAATTAAGGTAATTGCAATACTAATTAATAAATAACTAAATCTAGTAACTAATACATAGCATTGATTACCAATTTAGGAAACCTATACGAAAGATTAGAGAGGAGGGTTAATTAAAGAAGATCGATTTTAAGAACAATCAAGGATCATTCAATCTACATATGCATAACCTGCATTATTGGTAACCATAAGCGCATCAAAAAAAGCAACCCTAAATCCAATTCGACTTTTAACCGAGTCACATATCCACGTGAGCATTTTTTTTTGTATAGGAAATCTAAATTTTGCAGGTTTTAAGTAAGAATGAATTGCCACTCATCAAGCTTCAAGCAACTCGAAGCGATAATTAAAATTTCTGGGTTAAATAAATGGATTAATAGAATTATATACATATACAAATATATATAATTTAAATGACTTTATCACAATAAAAAAAGTATAAATACAATAAAGTTTTTTTGGGCAAACGCAGGTAGATCCGAGCGCACGGCGCACGCAGCTCAGATAGCTCAGATAGTACAATACAGTAATACAAAAATCTTCTATGAAATCTTTTCTGTTTTAATCAAAAATGAAATGTGGCAGGTCATGGGAAAAGGCCAAAATCAATGAGTAAAACGGCACATGCGCAGATCGCCGAAGAAGATTTAAGACAAAAATAGAAAAAAATAACAATAGTAATAATAATATTTATAATAAAAAACAAAAAAAAAGAAATTTTTGGAGGTTCGGGTGTCCTGGGCCTCCACAACGTACGGTGCAAAAGAACTAAAAATTCCAATCACTTTATGTAAATAAAGGCCAACTAGCTCATTGGAGATACCTAGAGATGTGCCATATGCATTATGCAGACAATGTTGCATGTTACATAATGCTGCATAATGCGATGCAGGTTGCCTAAAATTTAAAAATGCACATAGAAGTTTTTATGTAATTTTGATCCATGTCATTTCATCAACAATTACTTTATAGACATTTATTCCTATCAAATTCATAACCTGTGAAATCCAATAAGAAATTAATCTATCAGTTCTATTTTCACTATATAAATCTAATATTTTATGTTTTCAAATCCA